GGAGCCACTTTGCACTTTCGAAAGCATGAGTGCAGGCTCCCTAGCGCCTCAGGTGGGATTAAGAAAGCCCACCTATTTCACGAGTCAGGAGTTGAAAACTCCTTAGCACAGTGTTGCCTTAGTGCTCCTGCCTTCGTTAGATTCATAAAGAAGGAACAACTCGAAGAACAGGTCTTTGTAGCTTATGTAAAGCTAGCATGTGACCAGCCAAAGAGGAAGATGAGATCCATCCCACTATTGCCAGTTTACTCAAGGAGTATACAGACATAGTCGAAGCACCCAAGGGCTATTCAGCACCACATAGAGATAGAGCCTGGTAGTAAGACGCATAAGGGAGCAATCTCCAGAATGTCTTCCAAGGAATTAGAGGAGCTATGCAAACAGTTAGACGAGCTCCTAGAGAAACGATGGATTAGACCCCGCTCATCTCCTTTCGGTGCACTTGTTTTGTTTGTCCCCAAGAAAGAGGGAGAACTTAGAATTTGTATAGACTACAGGAGTCTAGATGCAATAACCGTCAAGAATGTAGAACCATTGCCCCGCATAGACGATTTGTTAGATCGGGTGCAAGGCTGCAGGTATTCTACTAAGACTTGAATTCAGGGTACCATCAGATAGAGGTCTACCCTAATGACATGTATCAGATGGCATTCCGGACTAGATATGGGCACTCTGAGTTTATAGTGATGCCCTTTGGAGTAACTAATGCACCAGCCACATTTCAGCGCCATATGAATGGTTTGTTTGAGGACAGGATATTCTACCAAGGCCTTTTTTAATTTCTTCAAGGTCGAGGTGCAGTCTTTGTCCCGCTTCCAGATCGATGCCTTCTTTAGGAGTCTACGAATGGGAGCAACGACAGTAGAGCAGTTTCTTACAAACTGTATGTAGTAGTTAGCCAGTCATAAAAAACATCGCAACTCGGTCAGAGTATGAGGAATTGGACAGTCTCTAATCGTGGCCATCTTGCCTTCCTCTGGCCTATGCCATCTCCATCCAACACGTGGCCCAAGTACAAAACTTATGTCTTGGCCCACTCACACTTTTTTGCATTGATCTTGAAGTTGGCTTCTCTCAACTTCTCCAAGATCTGCCTTAGATGGCCCTCATGTTCTTGGAGGGACTTGCTAAAAACTAGGATATCATCTAAATACACTACGACGAACATATCTAGCCACACAACAGAGACAAGCCAATATGGCATAGGCGTTGTGTTACAGCAAAATGACGGCGATGGCTATAGACACGTAGAGTTCATGTCAGCTAGGCTGCCTTCTGATAAAGTAGCAGCTTCGACACATGAGACAGAACTCTACGCTCTCAATCAGGCATTAGATCATTGGAGACATTACCTGCTTGGGAGGCACTTCAAAGTCTACTCAGATCATGAAACTCTAAGATGGCTTAAAGCACAAGTACAAGGGCCCCAACCTTGCAAAAACATGAACTCGTCCACACAAGGAAAATTTGGGGCTTGGGGACGGCCAGGTAGAGCTACGGGGTAGAAAGCACATGGGCCCAGCAAAGGACGGGAACGGACTGGAAAATGTCCTTTTGGTTTAGGCCGTGCAGTTTCCACATGTCATTGGATGGATGAGAGGTGAAAGGAAGAAAAAAAGAAAAAAGAAAAAAAAGAAACGAAGCAAACTGACAAATGGCAGAAAAGGCACCAGTTGAAACAGGCGCCTTGCTCGTTTTTGGAGACAGAAGGGGCCTGCTTCAACGGGCGCCAGCTCACAGGTGTAGTAAATGACACAAGATGTGGGGCGAACAAACAAAGCAAAAAAAAAAAAAAAAAGGAGTTGTTGCAGTGGGCGTCGCTCCACTACTCTCCACATGCACAAAAGACAAAAATCATGGCGGTGTATCTTTCCATGTTCTACTGGAAGATTCAGTCTCCAGTGACACAGCTGCTACACAATTTCGAGAATGAGGGCCTCATTCCACTACTCACCAAATGTGCAAAATATATCATGAATCTTTCCCTAGAACATGGGAACATACATCACCACGTGTTTTGTCTTTTGTGCATCTCATGAGAACCGGAGCGTGATTGACTGCAGGTACACCAAAGTGCCTCACTGCACCACTCTCCAAATGTGCAAAATGAGACTGAATCCACCAGTAGAACATGGAAAGATGCATTGCCATCTTTTCTGTAATAGAAGAGGTCTATGGTGAGTATGCATTTTTTTTCATTTTTTTTTTGTGAGTATGTGTTGCATACTGCGAATCCACACGGGCCTGCAAGGCCCGACCAAACAAGGAAAGTAAGGGCCCTACAGGCCCTGTGTCATTTTCAGCCTGAAAGCCTGAAAATAAGGGCTTACAGGCCCTGTGTCGTTTCAGCCTGAAAGCCTGAAAATGAGGGCCTGCAGGCCCTATGTCGTTTCAACCTAAAACAGGGCCGTCCAGGCCCTGAGTCTTTTCAGCCTGAAACGGAGGGCCACTTTCGGGCCCTCATAAGATTGACCTGCCCTGACACTCAGGCACCAAACCAGGGTTTTAGGAACAGGCTATTTTTGGCCTGTTCCCACGACAGCCTCAGCAGGAGCTGCAGCGCCACGCCCTGGCTCGTTTTGGCAGTGGCAAGAGCAGCCTCCTGGACTGTCCCGCCCTGCAACTGCAGGCAGCCGGAGGCAGTCAGGAGGCAGGCCGAGGTAATACATAGGAAGTTCCCATGCACTTCGCGGGCAGGCAGAAGGGAGAAAAGGTTAACGGACCCCCCATTTTTCACCTCAATTTATCAGAAAACCATAAGGCCATCCCAAGCAAACTTCACACCAATCTATAGAGTGCACTTCTTGATTCACTCGTTCTGAGACAAACTACACGGAAGCACTGCTAGAGTGTCTTGTGCATGGAGTCATGGGTGGTCAGCAGGAGAGCCCGGGTTGAAGAGGGCAAGCGGCCATAGCGGCTAGGAGGAGGAAGGCGACGGCAGCCATAGCCGCCCATGTGTAGAAGATAGAAGATAGAAGATAGTGTGTGTGCGTGCAGACATTCAGGGTAGATCCAACTGTTGTGTGTGTACGTGTGTGTGAGTGTGTCGGGTGGTGGATACAGTTTTCGTGTTCCTGGCGCTCAGACGCCACAGCCGAAAGATGTGACAAGTTGTCTTGAGCCGTGTTCCTGGCCGAAGGCCATATCCCTGAGCTTTCTGTGTGGGTGCACTGCGCCATCTCAAGCTTGTTGCTGATTCTGCTTTGAGGAAGTTGTTTTGCCATCGGCATCTGCATGTATGCATGTTGGACGTGAAATCGAGTCGAGTCTGAATGCACTTATTTCTTCTTTTTCCTTTGTCCTTTTCTCTTTCCAAGTTCTTTCATTTCAATTGCAATTGAACGGCATTGTCTTTCCTTGAGCTGTTGCACTGCAATATAGCCAGGATCATAACACTTCTCTAATAGAGAGGAGTTAACCCCTAATCAGTCCCTGTTAAACATTCAGCCCTTGCTCCTCTTCAGCCCTTCACTGATACTTCTCCCTTGCTCCTCTTCAGCTCCCACAGGTAATGGAATCGCCTGAGGGATCCTGACACAGTGCTTAGACCAGCTTCTTTTTCCACTGAGCTAAGACACGGCGCTTGAAATACTCTCCTCCTTCGTACGACGCTTCACTAACAGGTCCTAAGTTCCGGAGTACTTACATGATTCGTCATAAAACACTTTCTTTTATCTTGCTTCATAGATCAGCTCAACGGTGCACTCTAGCTGACACTTTCTTTTCTCGTACTTCATAGATTAGCTCAACGGTGCACTCTTGCTAAGTCTGCCTGAGTTAACGATCAGCACACTGTCCGTAGAAAAGACAGCAAACTTTGCTCTGCGTGCACCTAGTTTGTTCTACATCAGCCTATTCTCAACCTTTTTTTTGCTTTCTTTTAAACGGCCAACTGGACCACGGTTCAACTATCAACTGATCAGAACAGATACTACTCTTGATCTTAGCCCGTGTATGTCAATCTTTTGACATGCAATGATGCGTTCTACCTCTGCAGAGCAATCTTAACAACAGGAGGCTCTTTTGGGGAAGGGAAACGGATACTAAAACTTGGCGGTAACAGGTTAGTTTGATGCATAGAAGGCTACAAACTACATGGACTCGACATGAGAGGAGATATCAATCAGAAAAAGAGAACTGTCAGGCTAATGTCCACCTTTCAAGGAGACATGGAAGTGTTATCAAATGTTCAGCTGCTTTGCTGGATGACTTACCGATGGAGGGGCATACGTCGAGTGGTGCACATGTTGGTTAATTGCTCCAAAGTGGCACCCGTATGTTAAGTGCTAAGCTCCTACTGATGTGAGAAAACGATGCCTAGTTTTGATAGTAAAGGATCGACCATGATAGTCCGTACCAATGCTGAACACCTGACGACCCAGGTCGCTCAGTGTGTCACGTCGCTCAGTGTGTCACCCTCTGGACTCTGAACCGGCGTGGGTGACAAAGTGAGTGGCATTGTTCTTTTTACTTTTCCTAATTGGTCTGATGAACCTCCCTTGACAACCATTGTTCTTCTTACTTTTCCTAATTGGTCTGATGAACCAGGATCGGATATAAAACTGATCAGACCAGACACTACACTTGATCTTAGCCAAAGGCTGAGACCATAGTTAACCATTCACGAGAACCTTAGTTCCTTTGGCAGGTTTCTGCACCAACAAAGCATGTCTGATTTAGGCTTCACTGAGAGAAATAAACCATCAACGGACCTCCATCTCACCTAGCAAGGCTTGGATTGCCTAAATGTAATGGACACTTGGAAGACTTCTTGATTTCGAGGTAAATATCACGAGTCTGATTTGTGCATGACTATGTCCATATAAAGGCCGCCCAGAAAAAAAGTTCTCATTCATTTGCACTGAACCACATCCCGAAGCAACATGATCAAAAGAAAAAAGTTGAGGCAGCTGAGAGAAGCACATTGAAGGTACTCGTCAAAACTGCATGTTAATTTCTCTGGGTAACAGTACCTGCAAGCCATGTGAATCACTTACTTTCTGAGCTTTGCATACTGTTCTGCCTTCTCCAAAGGAAACCCATGGGAATAGAATGCAATCAAGCAGTCACAAAGTGGCCACCTGCACATGAGCATCAGATGCGCACGCAGCCATACGATCATTGAGATCAGAGCAATCACATAGCATGATGAAAATTTTGTGAAGATAGAAACACAAACTGCCATCCGGTTAAATATCATACGTATTACATTATAACAAGTGGGCCCGCCGCGAGAGGCGGTGAAGAGAAATAAAGTGAAAAAAAAAAAAAAAAACATCAATTCCCTCCGTTAGAGCAATCCATCAACGAAAATAATCAGAGGAACTTTTGTGTTGGGGTCATACCGAAATTCTTTTAGCAAAAAAAAATAAAAAATAAAAAAATAATTTATTACTCTCTCTCTCTCTCTCTCTCTCTCTCTCTCTCTCTCTCTCTCTCTCTCTCTCTCTCTCTCTCTTTGTGACCGGATCGATTTTGCTCATCTTTGCTATGGAAGTTGTGGGGGCCCAGTCGTGGCGGTTTGCGCGAGGTCACCTAGAACCGAAGTGTTCTCTCGCTCTCTCTCTCTCTCTCTTTCTCTCTCTCTCACACACACACACACATTGCACGAGCCCAGCAGGGATAGAAGTGATCTCTCTCTCTCTCTCTCTCTCTCTCTCTCTCTCTCTCTCTCTCTCTCTCTCTC